GCAATGTTAGTGCTGCAACAAAAGTAGCTGAGCCTTAGGCGACAGCAGCCTCCTCCATTGCACAGTCATAACAAATTCCATCAGCACAGGCCATTCTTTGCTCCAAGTAAGGCAGGGAGTCCTGAGGGGAAACCACAAGAGTTTGTAATCAGGTCACTAAAAGAGCTTATGATAATATTCAGAAGAAGTATGGAGTAAGATTTTGCAAGTAAATTGAATTTACTTTTTGCAAATGTAGGTTTCTTCTAACAATTTAAAAATATTGTACACTATTTTGAACAAGTCAGCAACTGGGACAGGAAAGATGTCTCTGAGTGAAAGCTCTGCCTGGGTCATCAGCAGCACTAGGTACTTTATTTGGCAGGTTTACATCAGCTAAGCTCACACTTTAGGTGATGGCGATACTGTTGTCTCCTGGGCGCTAGAGGGAGATGGACACACATACTTTGTTGGTGGATTCCACAGCTGGAGAAACTGCTTCTGGTTTCAATTCCAGAAGCTAAAATAAGTGGTGAGAAGCCTTTCTTTCCTCATTGTTTCTCTCTCCCTCTCTCTTTCTTTCTTTTTTTTTTTTTTGATGGGTGGGGAAGCAAGGATTTTCCCTTGTCTTCCTTTTGCCTTCTGTTCGTTTCTGTCTCTGCTTCTTCATTCCAATGCGTTATTTCCATTGGCTTCTAAAGGCTGTCTTGTGCTGTGCCTTTCCACCTTCCAGGGAGAGCTCCTGCTTTTGCTGCTAGCCTCTGCTCATGATCCCTCTTCTCTCCTGTTCCTGCCTTTTTCTTGTACCTGCGTAGCCTCCACCTTCATATGCAGTTTATTTACAGTAGATACAGATTCTTACTGTCCTCAGCAAGACAGTACTATCTCAGCCTCTTTGAACAGGATACCTGCAAATGATTATTACAACTCATGCTCCTTCTGTGATCAGGTCTGTGAGATGGGGAATGTTTGCTTACATAGAGCATTAGCTCAAGGTTGTTGAGTTTTTTAATTGTATATAGACTAAAGATGTGTTTTGTTAAAGACATGTTGAAGGACTGAATCTTGTATTCAGAGAACAGTGAGGTGAGGTCCATGAGTATCAGATCTTGTGGGAGTTCCCTCTGAAGCCTAGTGTTTGCCTTCACGGTAGAAGGTCAAATCATCTTGAAAACCCAAGCTGTTGACTGTGATCTTCACTGTGGAGTGCTAGGCATTCTTTTCAGAAAACTGGTTACATAGACACACACCAGGCTAAGAGCCATCAGCAAATACAGCACTGTCTTCCAGGTGAGCCAAGCCATGGGAACTTGTTGGCATTGTGCCCTCCAATTCAAAGAGAGTTGAATTGAAGCCATTGTATATCTTATAGATAAAGTCAAAGACCTTGCAGTAGATTTTGATAAGAAGCAAAGTTGTGAACAGAGACTGTCTGGTATGTTCTCAGTAGTCTGGAATTCAGGCTACTGAACCATGAACCCTGTCCTGGGTTCAGGTTGTTGGTGAGCCACTAAGCAGGACTTTGGCTTATGAAAGTAAGCTGGACTCTACACAGAAATGAGCTCTATTAATAAGCTACTTCTGTCCCCCTCTCCTGCCTTTTTTGATCTCCCTTGCTGTTCCTCTCTCTAAGCCCCCATGACTATTTCTCATTTTTCATGTTTTCAGTATTTTATACCTCTGTCTAAAATTCCTCACTCTTCCCACTGAGCTGAGGTTATTTCTTTCCCTCTCTGCCCTCTTCACAATAGCAATGGGAGCGCTGAGATCAGAGCAGAGATCCTCTTCCCATTCCCGTTGCAGAAGCTGCTGCATGTGCAAGACTAGCTGGGTCCTGCTCCTTCCACCCAGGCCTGCACTGCACTTTCATTGTGCAAATGGAGCATCTGTTGTAGAGGTAGAAGCTGTTAGGACCTGGGAGGTGTTTGAGAGAGAGAAATTTGTGTCTACTGCCAAATGATGTTGTTGATACCAAATGTACAAATACCATTTTTGGATGTATATGGCTTGGTTAAATTTTAAGAACAGATAAAAATCAAATGCCTGGAACTAATGTTTTCATTCAGTATCACAAATAACTAAACAGGGAATATCCTGTTACCATGCACCAGTTGGTCTGTGGCAATACTGTTGAGCCATTTTAACAAAAAACTCTGCTGAAAACTTCTACTCTGAGGGCTTGCCATGGAAAATATCTGTCCAAAAAGCTTCACTTCTGAAAGGTTTGGTTAACTCGTAATATAAGAAGGTGAGTTTTGTTGACTGTAGAGGTTGTTACTTCCATGATCACAAGTACCCAGGGACTTGGTTTATATTGTTTGAGGTTTGCTTTTTTCCCCCTTATTTCTACAATTTATTCCTCAATTACCAAAGTGGGGGGAAAATGTGTAGCCTTTTGTCAAAACTGGTAGGTAGTGAACTCTTTTTGTTTTTTGAACTTCTTTTTTCCTTGGTTGACTTTAAAAGAAAGTCCTTTGAACATCCATCTCTGTTGATGTCCCTTTGTATAAATATACATATATATATAAATAGAGTTCTCTTTCTTATGATTTTAGCTTGACATTCTAAGGAAGTGTGCATTGAGCTATCATACTCTTTGTCCTCTTGTCTGTCTACCTGCCTGTCAGTACCTATTTGGTGAATTTGACACACCCCATGTCAAACAAAACTAAATTGGACCTACTACTGAAAAAACTCAGAAATTAATTCCTCTAAGTTTCATGGAAACCATTGGCAGAGGAATGGGATAGGTAAGGGATTCGAATACCTTCCATTATGGCAGCTAAAGTTTAAGCTCAATGGTTTTTTTATCCTGACAGATGACAAGTCAGCACACACGTGCTGTCTCTTCCCCAGCCAGATGGATGGGCGATATCGAGATGTTGAGGGGAATGCTGTAGTGTACTTGGAGGTGGAGACGTGGAACTCTTGGAGTGAGAGGTCGAGGAACAGATTGTACACATCTGTAGAAAACCATATTTTAGCATTTCTGCTGTCCAAGGAACATCTGACATCTGTTTGAAGGGAAGTGAAGGTAATTATAAAAGGATGCAGGGAAGGCTAAAGGAAAAAGGTCTTAAATATGTAGGAAACTGGGCTACATTAGTTTTGCTGTTTATGGCATGACACACTAGCTTTCAGCCTTTGTTATTGCTATCCTGGAAATGATCCTGAGCAATGGCTTTTGTCTAGTCAACAAATTTTTTATTCATGTTGTTCAGTTTCTTACTTAGGAAAGAACTTTGTAAATAATGGGAGAGGGATTTAATGCCCACAGTTTACTGCAAGACTTAGAAAAGAACATATAAAAAGCAGTTAGTAAGGGGGAGTTCCATCAAGCAATTACACTCAAGGGACTAGAGTTCTCAGTGGAACAAAAAGGGGATTGGGATCAGGGATTGACATCCCAAGAAAAGGAAGGATTTATACTGATTTTACCATTGACCAGTGTCATGGTTTGAAAAGGCCCAAAATCCAATTCTGATTTCTAGCCCCCCCACCCACATCTCAACCCCATGTGAGATGGGTTTTCCAGACAAAAACACGAGACTCAATATGGGGGAAAGGAATATATTACAAAGACTATACAAATAAATACTTATACTATAATACACTGCATACAATCTTAACTCTATATCTATCTCTACCATGACAGTAATATTTACAATGGGCCCAATCTCTTCTCTCTCCAAATAAAAGTCCAGGAGAGAAGAAGAAGAAAAGACCCCTTCCAGTCTGTCAGCAGCAGGTCTCTCTCTCTCTCTAGGCAGTAGGCTTTCTGTGTCTTCTCTTCTAGGCAGCAGTAGTAGTTGCTGGCTCTCTGCCAGCACACACGAGGGAGGTCTTCCAAGCCTCTCTCGGCCCCCGTCTTCAAACAGGGGGTCTTTCCATGGGCTGCGTAACCCCAGACACGGCCGCTACACCATGGTCATATCACGAAGCACCGGGGTCTTCGTGACGGTCTGGTATCCTCAGGGGAAAATCAAGCCCCTGTGCAGAGCTCCCATGCTCTGCCTCAAAGATGGCTGCCAGCTTCTCTGAAGCCTGGCAGCAAGGAGGGGGGGGGGAAAGCCCAAGGTCACCCCCTCCACACACATTCCTTTGGCCATCCTGGCTGAGCTCTCAGGAGGCCGGAGCTTCTTAGCTCCTCTCTGCAGTGCATACTGCACTTTAGGACTCCACTCAGTCCACCACCCCCTCCTCTTTCTCGGAGGGGTCTCTAGCGAGTTTGGGGGTTTTGGTTTGTCCAGTTCTTACCCTCCGAAACTCTCTTCCTGCTGCTAGCTCGGGTCTCTTGTCTTGCTTTCTGCTGCTGGCTCTTTTCGTTCTTCAGACAACTCTGTGTCTGCTTCAGTTGCATACCGGCATCTGTTGCTTCTCTTGGTTCTTATCAGTTGGCTCTTTGCCACTGCTCTTCGGACACTGCTGTTCTGCTGCTGCTCCGTCGCTGCTCCCAGTGTCTCTCACTTCTACTTACAGGGGAGAAACTCCCCCAGTTCCTAGCCACAGGCACTCAGTCCAGTCTGACACTGTTCCGAGTCCCTGCAGCCCCCAACCGGGGGCTGGGGGGGGCAAAGGCCCCCAAGGGGCCGGAGCCCCTTCTCCTCGTGGCTCACCACAACATGGCCACCTCTTCTTCCCACAAGTACTACTGCTTCTCTTCCGGTCTCCAGAGATATGTTTATATTTTGCAGGAGCACTGATTGGTCAAGCCCCAAGGGTCACCACCCCCTGGGGGTTACCACTTTCTTAGTTTCAGGGGGAAAACCTGGTTCAAACCACTACAACCAGTCTTTTATGTATCTATTCATCGTCAATTGAATAAAATTTACCATTACCCTTGCTCCTGAAAGCCAAAACTTCTGGAAAGCCAAAAGCGTATAGTATAAACAGCTGTAAAAATGCTCACTAGAAATAATATGGTTGAACCTAGCACAACTGGAAAGTATGCTGGTGCTCCTAGATAGTCTTTGATTACTTTAAACTAAGGATTTTTGAAAGCACACAGAATCATGAAATGCTTAGATTTCTCTGCTTTAATTCTAAAACATTAAAAAAATACTTCATAAAAAAAAATATGGCTTACAAAGATGCATCAATGATTTGTTTGAAATGTGTTTATTTAGCTCATAATAACCTCTCATCTCTTCAAAAATAGGTATTTGAGAGCTCAGATGTCATCTGTTTTCAAAGGCAGTCTGGCTTGATATATAGTGTTTCTAGAAGTAATACGTTTAGGATGGCCTCTCCTAGAATGGGCCTGAAGAAGACCTCTTCAATAGCATCTGCATCAATGTCTCGAAGAGAAGTGATTAGCTGAAGGATTGAAGCAAACCTGGCCAGGTTTCCATGGAACATTTGTGAGACAAACTCCATCAAGGCTTGCTGAGCTTCCTGCTGCATTGTTTGTACATAGGGGAGACATTTTAGGACACAGCATCCTGTCAAAACAAAAAGTAAAATAGGAAATCTTGAGTATACATTTCTGTTCTAAGCCCTTCGATGGATTTCTGGCTTATAGCACTACTTTCTCTATAGAAAAATAAACAGTTCCTAAATACACTTTTTCATAAAAGAAGATATGTGTCGTTCAATAATTTGAAGGAGCATTGAGCAGCATTGTAAGCACATAGGAATCTGGCCTGTTACATTAAAATCCAGCTTTGCAATAGTAACAGCAGGTAAATGACTCAGTACAGACGGAGAAGAAGCTTTATTGTGTTGTCTACCCATATGCTGCTGAGCCCATAGTCTGAGTAGGTGGGAAAATTCCAGCTCTAATCTACACTAGGTAGGTAACATTAGGAAGATAGAGATGGTGGTTTGGAGCAGAGAGCAGGCTCGAAGCCTGAAAACATGGTTCTCCAGTCTACCTAGCCCCATCTCCATCCTGTTGTTGCCTCTGGTTACTAGACTAAGCTGGGGAACTATGGTTCACCACACTATGTAGACACTTTCATTTACAGTCTAAAAAGAGCATAAAAATTCTCTGTGAGATGCATCATGACCCACGGGAGTGGTAACTGGTTCTGTGTTCCCTTTCCTCAGCCATTTCTGAAAGAGGAGAGGTCTCTGTCCTATGGAGTCATGGTCTTGAGCCTCAATCACATACCTCCCATAGCATGTGACCTGCTGGCTCGAGGGCATCAGTGTGTGCCAGGGCTCAGTTCAAAGAACACCCTGTGTTTATCCTTTGCCTCTGGAGGGATTGCCTAGTCATGTAGCTCTCAGCAATCTGTTGCCTCCTGTTCTCACAACCTAAGGATAACAACATCTTTTCTTTCCTAGAATTGCTGCAGGACAGAGGTAGCACACACTCTAGGCCTATTTGGCATCTTTTACAGTGACTGACTCCATACCTCCCTGGGATGGGATCTGAATAGCTTACAACAGGGAGTGTTTCACACAAGATCATTCATTTAAGTGTGGGAGGTTCTGCCTCCTTGCCTAGTGCCCTCTGCTAGGGCAAAACCAACCTCGTTGAGTTTTCTTCAACGTGTAACTGGCTGCTCTTTGTTGGCCTTCAGCAGCTCTCTTGCTAAATATCACTGCCAGAGGAGAGGAAGTCTCAGCCAAACTTGAAACAAGGCTAGCCAGAAATGGAGACTTTGGAAAAGTCGTCATCTCCTCCGGGATTACCAGCAGCTGCAAGCTGTGAGGATGGTTCCAAGTGTTAGATTTTTCATGGAAAGGAAATTGCCAGGACTTTGTATATTCAGGATGAAATTGCAATTGTTTATATCCCTTCAAATATGCTTAATTTCCCCATTTGGTCTTCTTTTCTGTGTAATCAAATGCTGGGTTTAATTTACATATAATGAGACACTTCTTGTTCTGAGATCTGTTGTAATAATTCTCAGTCAAACACATTTTTCCAGCTGAACTATAAACCTCTTAAGAGTATCCTTTTTAACAGAAGTCCTGTCACAGCCTTGATGGAGTTTTAAAATATATATATGTATAGAAAACGCCAAAAATACGTATCTATATGGCACTGATTAATTAGAAGCATTGTTTTTCACAGTTCCTGTCCCTTCACTGTGCAGTTCCAATAGTTTTTCAGACAATTTTCAAAAGCACAAGAACATTTTCACCTCACTCTGAGCTGTTCCTGTGCACAGAACAGTCCTACCTGCTCCTTTCTTTGACTTATTGCCTGTGTCCTGGTAGAGAAGGCCTTGCAGCTGGACCCTTCACCCACAGAAACTGTGACCTCTTTGAAGCCACCTAGCTTTTCCCCTGGGAAAAGCAGGGATGCCAATATATTCCGGAGAGTCTGGATTCCATTGATGCAAGGTGCCTGTTTCTCCTCAGGGGCTGGGCACAGGCTTTCTTCTTTACAGGTTCTTGCTGGCCCACATGAGGCCAGTTAGTAACCCAGCCAGAGCCTCCTGCAGAGAGGTGCTGCACCGTCTGCTTTTATTTCCACCTCTGGGACCTTCAACATAGGAAGGATGTGCACCTGCTGGAGCAAGTCCAGAGGAGGGCCCTAAAGATGATCAGAAGGCTGGTGCACCTCTCCTATGATGACAGGCTGAGAGAGTTGGGGTCATTCATACTGGAGAGGAGAAGGCTTCAGGAAGACCTTATAGCAGCCTTCCAGTACCTAAAGAGGCTTTACAAGAAAGCTGGAGAGGGACTTTTTACAAGGGCATGGGGTGATAGGACTAGGGGTAATGGCCTTGAACTGAAAGAAGGTGGGTAGGTTTAGATTAGATATTAGACAGAAATTCTTTGCTGTGAGAGTGGTGAGGCACTGGAATAGCTTGCCCAGAGGTGTTGTGAATGCCACAACCCTGGAAGTTGGCCAGAAGGCCAAGCTGGGGCTTTGAGCAACCTGATCTAGTGGAAGGTGGCCCTGCTTATGGCAGATAGGTTGGACTAGATGATTTTTAAGGTCTTTTCTGACCCCAACCGTTCTATGATTCTAGCGGTAGAACCTACATTCCATCATGCTGCCTGCCACTCTCTTGACAAAGGAATTTTTTAATGATAGTAAGCACAATATCTGTGCCACAAGAGACCAGCCAGGGCACAAGCAAAGGTTTGTCATACCTGTCATGCTTCTTATCCAAGTGATGGCTGCTACAGCCGCATGCCTGCATGTCCTGTTGAACTCCAACTCATAACCCAGCTCTGAACTGCTCTGTACCTGGCCCTTCCCTATTGCCTCAATCAGTTTTGGTGGTCCTAACAGAAGTAAAACATTCAGGGTGGGAGCCCTCATGAGGTACTTCATGATCCAAGAAAGGGTTTACCATTGTCACTGCTGGTGGTCCCCTGAAATCCTCTTAGAACTGAGGCCTGCAGAATATTAACATTTTGCCCAACATCACACCAAAACTTGAAAAGTTTGAAAATGTGCTGCATGTATGTAGAAAATATTTTCTGAGTTTGGTGGAAAGTATTAAAAAGCTTTTAAAAATAACAGCTGTACAGATTTGTTTGCAGCAAAGGGCATTTTGGGGCTGTGCATAAGCCCTGAGTACCTGTTTCAGCTCAGAGTTAGACTGTAACTGTTTCATCTGGAGTCAGTCTAGGCTTACCAGAAGTTCTCTAGGCTGCCTTCGGCAGCTTGTGGGGAAATATTCCAGAGAACGGGATCATCCTACCTATGAGCTAGGTGACATTCCTGAAACACTGGAATGTGTCTGCAGACAGCATCAAGGGCTGCTGGCCCTCTCATACAGCACCCTAGAGAAGCACCAGGCTTTAGAAGGCAGAAACCCAGAACATAATCCTGCTTCTGCTGCTTTCTCCTCAAGTGAAAATCTCATTTTACCTACAGAGATAATAAAAATGCCTACTAGTTAAACTGTGTAAGCTGCTGCAGATGAGGCATTTCTCTTCTTAGCATCCCCCTGGTTATAAGTGGAGGTTTTGTTCAGCCTGATTTTACTGTGAAAAAAATGACAAAATAACTTGCACTGAAACAAACTCCACTGATTTGATGCTGCAGCATAGACACACAAGGCAACACCAAACATCTGGATGACATTACACCTCAAGAGTCAGAATCTGAATCCCCTTGGAAACAAATATAAAGTCATACAGCTTTTGAGCAGCCTATAAACCATTCACCATAAGAAATATAATGGAATAACTGAAGCATTCATGTATCCTTTTGGTGCAGTCTGAAGTACAGCACACTGCTGACAGTGCAGCCAACAGCAGTGATCGCTGTGGAAGGAGCCGAGGATCTGAGCCAGAGCAGGCTGGAGTCAGTAAGTCTTTCCATTTACTTTAGTGTACTTAGAGTTCAGCTTTTAATGACTCATGCACTCCATGCTGCTGACCGAGGAAACCTTCCTTCCTAAAGAACCTGAACTTGGCATCTGAAATGAGAGGATGCAATCACTAGTTTTAGTTTGCTCCACGATTACTGTTGCAGGCTTTGAGTGTAGTGATATTAAATTATATAAATAAAGAATATAAATAAATAAAAGCTGTGTAACATCAACATAGCATCCTTTTGCCTCATTGATGAAAATCAGTTGATAAGGATTATTTTATTTTCTCCAGAGTTCTTGTTACAGAGGAAGTCTCTGCTAAAATACTTCCAGTACTCACATCGTGTACCCATGTACCATCTCTCCTTTGCAGTACTACAGATGAGGCTGCTGTATTATCTTTGAACTGAAAATCAGTTTGAAGTGACACTGTTAATTATTTATTACTTAAAATTTGTCCAATATAAGCTGTTTTGGCTTTCAGTGGGTTACCTACTGTACACAGCCAAGGAACTGAAATAAACCACTTCAGGCAGAAAAGTCATTAAATTGTGGAATATGGATTTTTGAGAAATTTAGCTGTATTCATAGGCAAGAGTAAAACTAAACATTTGTCTATATACAAATGAAAATGCCAAATGTCTTTCTAAGCCCATAATCATCTATGTAGTTTCCAGGAGGACTCACCAGAATTAAAAAGAATAATTCCTTTAAGATAGGCATATTCTTTTGCACTTATGTCCAGGTCCCAGCATTTCCACAAGAGATTCTTCATCTTCTGAACTTTTGCCAAAGATGTTCCTGGTGATGAGCTGCCCAGTTCATTGTTAGCTGTCAAAGACTGATTGAGGAGGATTTTTTTCAATAAACTAGGGACTGAAATCTCTCTCAGATCAAAATCCACCCCTTCTTGTGCCATGCCCAGGACAAAAAGAGGGGCCCAGTTCTGCTGTATGAGAACAAGCTGATCATCCAAAGGCATGTGATAAAAAGAAGGCAGGTTTCTAATAAAAATTGAAGTCTTCAAGAGCACTCCAGAAGCTCTTCTGCACGTGGCTTCTGGTGTTTTCAGGACAACTCTTCTCCTGTCCAAGCAAGAGCAGTCCTTGATTCCTGTGGAGCAGTGGGGGTTGTGATGCTGCTGGTGCCACTTGGTCTCACTTTCATGCTCTTTGTTAAGGATCTGATACAGGATACTCTTAGTATGGTGTGTGTCACACTGACATTTCCTAAATTTCTTATTTGGGATCTTGGTAGCCATAGAGCCAGAGTTCCCTGTGACAGGAAACAGCATGCGGGGAGCTGTGCATCAACAGCAGGAGAGGCAGTGCATGTTTTTATATACACAGGCAGTTGAAAAGTAATATGACCCTGATCTGTGAAGTTACCTTGAACTTTATTTGTACCAGTCTGTTTCAAATGAGGCGGGGCTGCCGGCTGCTGGTATCGCACCGGGCTGCCGTAACCCTGGGCCAGCAGAAGGGTTCACACCTGCCAGGGGCACGGGCATCACTTACCACAGTGCCCCAGTGCAGGCAGGCTGTGCCTGGCCTGCTGCCACCAGGCAGTGGCCTTTTGCCAAAGACCAGCTCTGTAACACATACAGTCTGCCCCTGAGGGGAAGCCTGGGAAAAACTATGACATCAAAAGTGAAGAAGGAGCAAGTTGTCTTTGTTTTTATTGGTACACTGACATTGCCCACTAACTAATGCTCCTGAGGGCACAGGAATGCATTTACACTTACAAATGATGCTGTGTCACCAGGCACTTCTGTTTCTTATTTAAAGGAGCCACCTGAAGATGCTGTGGATGTTTACCATTATTTTTCATAGAGCACTTAACAGTGTTCATTCTTTACACCGTAACTAACAGAATGTGTGACACCTATGTCTCAGGGATGGAAATCCCATGTTTAGGAATTATTTCATGTTTCTGTGAGATTTGAGAGAAACTTCAGAGAAGGTCAGCTGCTATAGCTCATGACAATGTTATCTCTTGCATTTCAAAAATGATAATTTCAAACACAGAACATGTGGACTTAGAATCATAGAATCAATTGGGTTGGAAAAGATCTTTAAGATCATTGAGTCCAATCATTAACCCAGCACTGCCAAGTCCACCACTAAATCATGTTTTTGAGCACCACATTTACATATCTTTTTAGTACCTCCAGGAATGGTGACTCAACCACTTCCCTGAGCAGCCTGGGCATCTGACATCGATGTAGAATAAGACAATGCAAGGCATCCAGTACAGTTTCCTTCTTTACTTCAGAATACTTCTCCCAGACTTTCTGTGTAATTAAATATTCCTCATACAAACCAATGAAGAAAAAATGGCATTTTGTACTGTTGCATGTGTGAACTTCTGTAGCAGAGCAAGAGCTGAATGATTGAATTGTCAGGACTCGTCAGTAAACATCAGGGGACATTAAGTAGCAGGAACAAAAGGAACTCAGCCTAGATGAGAAGAAATTGATACTTCAAGTTTTTGTTACTTCACGCTCTCTTGCTTGCTTTTATATAGGGGAAGAGGTACTAAGTTTTTTTTATCAAGCATAATGTTTATGTATTCCTACCATCTGAGCTCTTAGCACATCTTAACAAAAAATGAGCATTAAAAACTGTAGGATCCCAAAATCAAATACCTGCAGAAAGGAGTCTGAGTGGTCTCAGCAAAAGGCCTTGGGCTACGAAAGCTGGGGGAAAAACCTCAGTTTGAGGACTAGACAAGATATCACTGGTTTGGAATGTCCTGCCCAGACCCAAAGAGACTGTACTCTGACTTTAGCAAGCCTCTGCATAAAATCCATTGTTGTTTTCTCCCTTCCTGTGTATCCCGTGTATTCTGTGAACTTGAATATCTCTCCCCCATGTAAATCTCCAAAAATGTAATCTTAAGATAAGTGGTTTTTCCCCATGGTCTAAGTGCTAAACCCAAAAGGTGTAACTTGAGTTTTTCCCTTACTTCATCCCTGTTTGTAGTAGCTCAGCCCTCCTATGAATATGTAGACACCAGACCCTTAAAATATCAGCCTGTATGTCCAATAAAGGATTCCAGATTCTGCCTCCAACCGGGATCGTGTTAGTTTCTTAGACTCCCACAAAAACCAACAGCTCAAAGGTCTTCATCTGCCAGATCTCCAAGCCTTTGGCTAGAGGCCCTCCCATCAGATGCATAGATGCAAATTTGTGTTTTGCTACAAATTTTGTTTTTTCCATGCTGGGCCATTTTAAACTTTCCGCTTATTTACCTCTCCATGATATTTATGTTGCAAAATTTTCCCCTTCTGAGATAAAAAGTGGAGGAAGAGATGACTGCTTCAAAGTTGAGCAATCTAGGAGTATAGTGCTGCTGAGATGCAGCTACCACTAATTGCGGTGAAGGTCAGGGCACACAGAGCACCGCTGGTGGGATTTGCTTGTCCACCTCTCCATCCATTCAACAGCTCCCTGTTGTTGTCCGTTGCTGGGGTATCAAAGAGCTCTTCAGGTTAAATGGCATGGCAATAGAGGAGTCCCCAGATAGCCCTATCCCTCTTATTCTTGATGTAAAATTCAAGCTGGCCTGAGGTTCAGTGGAATGAACTCCAGTTGTAGGGCTAATGTTGTCTGACATTCAGCATGAATTACATAGGTTGCCTAATGGCTGTACTAGACAGAAAGACTGAGCCTGCTAAAATCATTCTTACATAGCATTTGCTTGTGAAAAGAAGATCTGTCTTCTAACTGCCAGTGAACATGGTGGTGTTTCAGCAATCTAGGTCAGAAAGTGACTTCTGAGAAAGCCAGCTCCTGTAAACCAAGGAGAAAAAGCACTATCTCATAGTTGACCATTTTACTTTCACAGTTCAGGTCGTTATTTCACAGTTCCTATTAATTGTGCTAATTAAAGTTCTACTCCAAATTAAATTGATTCCTTTCCTAATTTTCTTTTAATGAGATCTGCATCAGTCATATGCAGTGAGTCCTGATGTCAGTAGCATATGGTGTTGAATACCATTTCTATTTGTCATCATGTATTTCCTTTGATCGTGTATATATCTAAGTGGCAGAAGCAAATGCTATTTTTTTCTAACAGGAATTCCTGGTATATTATAATAACTTTATGACTGTTTACCAAAAATACAGAGTAAAGGTTACTGCCTCAGTATGACTGTTAAGGACACGTCATCAGCTTTTTCTGAGAGAATGATTATTTAGAATTATGAGCCAATATGGAATTGTAGGTGAAACCTATACGGGTAGTCCTGATTCAAAATTGCCTGAAATGAGCTTTCTGCATGACCCAATTTTCTCAAACAGAGAGGACCAGTATCTAAATTTAGTGCTATCCTCATAAATGAGGCAACAGTTAATTTTTCTTTCTAAATTTTGCCATTAGAACGGTTGCAGCTACACGCATCTAGATATAAAGCATCTAAGTCTTCTTGCTACAGTAGCAATACTTCATACTTTCATATGTTAAGAAAGTATGAGATACAAAACCCAATTTTGTGATATGAGAACTTCCCTATGGATTTTTATCTATTTTAGCTGTATCTAGCACTATGTTTGAGAACAGTAAGACACAGTCACATCAATGTTATTTTTTCTGGTTTGCACTTTTATACTTTTTCAATCTACAAGGCACACACACCCACATTCACTGTCACCATTCTCTCTGCAACCATCAAAATTGCTCCTCAGGCACAAATGCCAGCATTTGGACAACAAAAAACAATGTGTCCTAACTACACACACAAGATTAAAAAGAACTGAAAAAGGGTTAGTTTAGATTAGATATTAGGAAGAAATTCTTTACTGTGAACATGGTGAGGCACTGGAACAAGTTGCCCAGAGACATTGTGGATGCCCCATCCCTGGAAGTGTTCAAGGCCAATTGGCTGGGGCTTTGAGCAACCTGTTATAGTGGAAGGTGTCCCTGTCCATTGCAGGGAGGTCGGAACTAGATGATCTTTAAGGTCCCCTCCAACTCAAACCATTCAGCAATTCTATGATTGCTGCAGACTGCCGTTTAATATTCACACCATTGCTGGAAATAAAAATAATACATATGCTATTGGGTCTAAAAGTATAAGACATATTATTTTTGGGTCATAGTCCATAGCATTAATTCAACTAATAGAATACTTGGAAGGCTTAAGAGACTTGTCAGACAATATAGGAGCTTACGCGGCCATCTTATCCTTACCTTGGCAGTAGCCAAACCTGAGTACTTCAGGAAGTGTATGATATATACCATTCTTCTCATGAGTGTTTTTCTTGCCTTCAATCATTTGTAGCTTGGGGGGAAACCTGAACCAGAATGATTTTATGCATTTAATAACTTTCAATTAATTTCTAACCTCTGATCTTACGCAGTCTGTTCCTGAAGCCACATTAACGTCCACATCAGCCTGTGTCAAGAAGGTCTGTGGATGCCTGTGATGTGAGACAAACCTTGACCAAACATGACATTTGTTGGATCTCGTACCTTCTTGCTTTTGCACTGGGAAGAGAAAAAGGGAATCAATCAATCCCTATTCACTCTTTCTATAGTTTGCTTTATTTTACAAATCTCAGTAAGACTCACACAGTCATCCTTTGTCGAAACTAGAGAGATGTAGCTTCTTTCTTTAGAGTGGCAATAGGCCTTTGATTATCTTGTTACCCTTCTTTGAATCTTTCTCAGCTCTATCACTTTTCTAAGATATTCTTTAAGGAGAAATATGAAAAGAACCAGAACAGGACACAGTATCCAGGACTTAGGAAAGCATGGATTTATACAGGGACAGGATGAGGTTTTCTGTTTTGCCTTTCCCAGAAGTCACTCCTGAGCTGTTGTTGCCATGAAACTGTCACGGCCCCCAAGTTTTACTCCTGAATGATGTTCATCAGTTCAGAGGCTCTTATGTTAGTCAGTAGTGGAGTTAGGAGTGTTTTATCATATGTGCATCTCTTGCCATATAAATATATTTATAAATATATATATACACACCTAATTATCATTTGACACCTAATTGATGATTTTCATTAAGCCTTTCTACAATTCTTCTGACAGCCCTAGTCTACCTCAATAATTTTGTGCCATCAGCAGATATTTATATTTTGAAACTTTGAAGGCACTAGTCTTCAGAGTAGTTCACTCAATGTTCTGAGTTGTTTAAAAGACTAAAATAATTTACCTATAGGGAAGAAAATCTGATGCTGTCCTTGCAGTAGAGTGTCTATATATACAAGATGGCTTATATGTATATGTATATACACAATGTATATAGTAACTATGTTATTACTAAGCAGTGATGTGAACTCTCCTGCTTTCCTA